CACTTCCCTGGGGGCGCCAAATCCGAAACAGGGACTTATGAATTTTTAAAATTTAATCTTGACCAAATATATTAATGAACAGAATAGGCATATATAGGAAACGGCTTGAGTACCCATTTTTGACAACTTATTATCTCTTATTCGGTTTGGACTATATACTTATACATATTATGTGTATGGCTGACGGGCACAATATCCTCGTTGGGTCATTCCCCATAGGGGTACCCTTTATTCTCACCCGGTCCACCAGGTCGCCATCTGGTGAGTGGTGATGAAGGCTGACGGCGGAAGGCAGGCTGCTTTCCACTCCAGTGTGCTTCGCAAGCTACATAGTTGCGCGGGAAAAAATGGAGATGTAATCGGCTCATTCGGCTGGCAGCTTGACAGGTAATAAGAAGAACACAGAAATGCTGAGCGATTTCGTCAGTTAATGATGCCGCGGTTGCCGCCCAAAAAATCACACAACTCTGGTGATGGAGAAACAGAACCGACTGAAAATCAAGAGCAACCGTGTAGTACAAACACAGAATTGGGCGATGAAATTTACACTTCAACAAATATCCCACACGATCAAACTCGCGACAAATCTACTTCACCTCCAATAAAATCAAACATTAGTCAGAGTGAGCCCCCAGCACTGCATGAAACAAATCTGCAAGAATATCCTCATGCTGCTGAGGCAAGTTTATTGCCAAGTCATTCTGGTAACACGGTCAATGAACGCGAATTAAACATGGATTATCCAGATTGTGTATATACTGACTCTGGCAAATGGCCACTTCCGGTGAATCATAAATTACGAATCGAACTCATTAGAACTCAAATGCTGTAACTTTCTTTGGAACAATAAAGATAATATTTGTTTATTTTTCGTCTTCAACTCATATATGGGATGTGCTGAAGAAACACACCAAGTTGACTGTCAAAAGGGTATCTGATTCTGATACCCGATGGAGTACTAAACACGATGCTGTCTCTGCTCTGAAAGGTAACTTGGACCAAGTCATTACTGCCCTGGAAGAGTTGAGAGATGGGGCATCTGAAAATCTAGCCACGAAAGGCGATGCTGGCGCTCTGCTGACGTGCACCATGTCATACACATTCATAGCATATTTGTTCTTTTGGGAGCCAGTACTAAAGGAAATCAACTACGCTCAACAATACCTGCAGAAAAGGGGGCTTTGTTTAGATCAGTGTGCGACAAAAATGTCTTCGTTATCCGTGTATTTCACTGATGAACGCGATGCATTGGTCTCCAATTCTAGCGAAGCAGCTCAAAGTTTCTGTGACGACAAGGGCATCAGGGTAGACCGTAGAGTAAGAAGGCAGCGAAGAATGCCCGGGGAGCAAGTTCGTGACGATGGATTGACGGTGAAACAGGAAACTTGCAGAGAACTTTTAGAAATCATGGATCGTTTATTAGCGGAAGTCGAAAAACGTTCATGCAATCTAAGAGATATGAGCGTTCGCTTTGGCTTTATGCAATCGTCTCACTTGTTAGATGAGCGAAATGACGAACGAATTGAAGAGCAGATCCAAAATCTTTCTCTACTTTACGGTGAAGTTATGCCTGAAAGTCTCATTGAAGAAGTAAAACGGTTGCGGAGGCTCATGCATAGTTTCCAAATTGATCGGCAACGTATAACTCGATGACCCAAGAAACTGGGATGTCCTTCAACTGTTAAAATGGATTGTGAAGTGGGCTCTGGTAGAGTCACTGCCAAATCTTACAATCTCACTTCGCATTTGCCTCACGATTTACGTATCCGTCGCAAGCTGCGAACGGAGCTTTTCGAAGCTAAAACTTATTAAAACTTACCTTAGATCAACTATGAGTCAAACTAGATTGAGCAATTTGGCCATCCTCTCTATAGAGCGGGAAGTCGCAGAGGAGATGGACACCGAGCAAATCATTCACGACTTTTCAGTTATGAAAGTAAGAAAGATGTAATGTGTCATTAGATACCATAATAAAGTGTTTTCGTTGGACCATAATAAAAAAAAATCTTTCTCTTTTCTTTTCTTTCCAGAGGGTTGGGGGCGCGTAACTGCCCATTGGCCCCGGGCGCCATATACCCTTCCTACGCCACTGTGTACATATATATATTAATATATGTACATATATATATATAAATATATGTACATATATATAAATATATGTATATATATATATAAATATGTACATATATATATAAATATATGTACATATATATATAAATATATGTACATATATATATAAATATATGTACATATATATATAAATATATGTACATATATATATATATAAATATATAATATATGTACATATATATATATATATATATTTATAAATATATGTACATATATATATAGATATATGTACATATATATATATATATATATATATATATATATATATATATATATATATATATAAATATATGTACATATATATATAAATATATGTACATATATATATAAATATATGTACATATATATATAAGTATATGTACATATATATAAATATATGTACATATATATAAATATATGTACATATATATAAATATATGTACATATGTATAAATATATGTACATATATATAAATATATGTACATATGTATAAATATATGTACATATATATAAATATATGTACATATGTATATATATATATATATATATATATATATATATATATATATATGAATATATGCACATATATATATATATATATATATATATATATATATATATATATATATATATATATATATATATAAATATATGTACATATATATATGTAAATATATGTACATATATATAAATATATGTACATATATATATATAAATATATGAATATATGCACATATATATATAAATATATGTACATATATATGTAAATATATGTACATATATATTTATATATATGTACATATATTTATATATATGTACATATATATATATATATATATATATATATATATATATATATATATATATATATATATATATATATATATGTGCACACATATATATATATATATATATATATATATATATATATATATATATATATATATATATATATATATATATATGTGCACACATATATATATATGTATATATATATATATATATATATATATATATATATATATATATATATATATATAAATATATGTACATATATATATAAATATATGTACATATATATATAAATATATGTACATATATATATAAATATATGTACATATATATATAAGTATATGTACATATGTATAAATATATGTACATATATATAAATATATGTACATATATATAAATATATGTACATATATATAAATATATGTACATATATATATATAAATATATGTACATATATATAAATATATATATATATATATATATATATATATATATATATATATATATATATATATGAATATATGCACATATATATATATATATATATATATATATATATATATATATATATATATATATATATATATATAAATATATGTACATATATATATGTAAATATATGTACATATATATAAATATATGTACATATATATATATAAATATATGAATATATGCACATATATATATAAATATATGTACATATATATGTAAATATATGTACATATATATTTATATATATGTACATATATATTTATATATATGTACATATATATATATATATATATGTACATATATATATATATATATATATATATATATATATATATATATATATATATATATATGTGCACACATATATATATATGTATATATATATATATATATATATATATATATATATATATATATATATATATATATATATATATATATAAATATATGTGTGGAATTCATGTCAAACAAATTGCAGGAAGAAGAACGAAGGGATGTTCAGTGTATGTGTATATGGACATACACATACACATACATATACACTGTTTTTACACATAGATGGCTACACTCACAACACCAGTGAGCCAATTACGAGTACTGCCTGTTTTGCCCGTTCACCCTTTTCATTGATTTACGAAAATATTTAATGTTATCTTATTTTGCTGTTAAAAATAACACCATCTATATTTATACCACTAGTAAGAATACAATTTTCCTGCCAATTCAAGGAAAGATGAAATCAGGACTAGCAGAGCCATCTATGTAAATAGACATTTCACAAAATATAAAAAATGAGTACAGCATTTTCCCCATTTTTTATTAATTTTCCCTGGCAGCAATGGGTTAATTTTATATGTAAAACTAATACCCATAACAACAATTTCAATATTCATATATTAAACTGCTCCAGACGTGCAGTGAATGATAAAACATAATTTAGTCTTCAGATAAATGTCAGAATATAAATATAACTAATTGTCAAAATCATGCAGATAAAAGTTATCTAAGAAGATAAATACATGTTAGAAAGTAGGAAGGCTGACCACATTGTAAAGCAGAAAAAATTATATTTTATGAATTTGGTAGATATTAAGAATTATTTGTATATTTATTTATTTGTCTGTTAACCCAAAGAATACAGGAAAATGCTATGTTCACTATAGTATTGTTTTGTGAAATGTCTCTGCAAATGTTTAGCCACAAAGGTGTCAATTAATAGACCTTGTGATCTCACCTGATTTCACCTTTCCTGGAGATTGCAGGAAAAACACTTTTGCTGCTAATGCTATCAACATTGATATGGTTATTTTTATTATCATAATTTTATTACTAACAGCAATATTATATATCAGAAAATATGTTCATAAATCAAGGAAAAGGGTAAACAGGTGAGACAGATAGTATTCGTAATTGGCCCATTGGTGACTTAATAAATTAAACTCACAGTGGGAATGACATATATGTACATGCCATTCCTGGCAGCTTTGGGTTAATACATAAATTGCATGTATACACAATATATATATACAGACCCACACTATTTACCTGGAACTATATATTTACTTTAATTTTTTATATTTTTCTATTTGATTTTTTTTTTTGGACAGGCATGCCGGTCTCGACTTGAGCAAGCTGAAAGAGAGTTAGATATGTTGGAGGACAGAAGTGAGAATTTCACTGGAACAACAGATGAAGAAACAGAGATGCTTGAGACTTTGAAGGCCCAGCATGAAGCTGTTGAAGCAGAAAGAAAG